ACCTTACTTAAAAAATACCCCTCGTAGTTTTAGCTTTAGAAGCAAATGCTTTGTGGTTGTATCCTAAGCTTATTAGCTTCATGGAATCTGCATTAGAAACTTTACCAACGATTGCCTCTTCCAACAAAAGTTTCTTTAATATTGCTTTGCAATGTCTATATGAATAGACGATCAAATGGTGTCTATTGGCAGATGCACAACTTCCTATTCATTGAGGGAAGAATAACTAATCCATATGAATCATCATTTTACTGTTTAGAATGCCAGAACAATTTGAGATTTTCCGCTTGCATATAGATCCCCACATTACAATTAAGTGTCCAGAACAAGTAATGGGTTTGAAATTGGATTTATCTGAGCATGGAAGGAAGCTGTCAATTGGGGTACACAATACCATGTTGTGAGGCATTTGTGTAACAGTGACTTAGGCTTGCTGTGCTTTTGAATGAGAAGTGATGCACAGTAAAATCAGAGCTTTCATTTTGAATGGCGTATAAGGAGCAATTAAGACAATCATATATTATCAGTACAATAAGGACTTAGACATTGTGAATACCATGTCGCCATTTTTGCAGATGCATGTCTAAAAACTATCAATACCAAAATGCATACTTTTAAAAATACGATAGAGTTCTACATATTTGAATGATGTATTGACTGCACCAGAATCCAGTGTATCCAAAATTTTAGAAGTCATTTTCTAAAATGACTCATTTTATTTTAGACAAGATTCAAAAGACACAAATTACAAAACACAAATGAATCTATATAAATAAAAATGTAATGCTCGTTTGTGGTATTCACAGAACTCAAAAACCACTGGGGGAAATGACACCAAATTTGGACACAAGACACCTAACAGCCCAATGTATGTCCTTCACTCAAAAAAATTGCCTTTGTCATTTGGGAGTTGTAGTTGCTGGGATTTATAGTTCATCTACAATCAAAGAGCATTCTGAACCCCACCAACAATGGAATTGAACCAAATTTGGCACACAGAACTCCCATGACCAACATGGGCATTGGTGGGCATTGACCTTGAGTTTGGGAGTTGTAGTTCACCTACATCCAGAGAGTACTGTGGACTCACACAATGATGGAACTGAACCAAACTTGGCACAAATATTCCATATGCCCAAATATGAACATAGATGGAGTTTGTAGGAAAATAGATCTTGACATTTGGAAGTTGTTGTTACTGGGATTTATAGTTCACCTACAATCAAAGAGCATTCTGAACCCACAAATGACAGAATCGGGGCAAAATTCCCACATAGAACCCCCATGACCAACAGAAAATACTTAAGGCCGCCCAGCCCAACTCCCTTCACCAGGGCAAGAAAACGTAATCAAAGCCCTCTTGACAAAGAGCCATCTAGTCATAGATATAGATAGACATATATGATTCACACACACACAGATATAATATCATAGATTTGAAAGGGACACCTAAAGGAGGACAATGATATGTTGCATATTCCAGAGTAGGCAAAACAGACAATCTCCACATCAACACTGACAAACAAATAGCAAGAAATACTGTTTACCCACAAGCATAAAGAAATTACATAGATTACAAACCATTACTTTATTTTCCAGTTCACCAGACTGGGCCATAGCAACGCGTGGCAGGGGATAGCTAGTGTGATATAAACATTTAAACCAGTCCAATGGAATTTCATTGCAATCATTTTTTACCGAATTAGAATAGTTAATCTCTATTCCCACATATTCAAAAAGATTGTCATTTCCCTAACTTTCTTTCCACCTGACTTCTTTGCTCATAAATTATAATAATGATAAAAAGTGGTGATGTTTTTGAACACACTTTTCCTCCAGGTACCAAGAAATTGAGACAAATTATATTCTTTGGGAGTCTGCCAACATCCTGACAAATATTCTGGGGTTTAAGAAATACAGGAAATCCATTTGGCAATCCTT